AGTGTTGATTGCAGTGGTCAGTGGTTGTCAGTGGAAACCGCTGTCCAGGTAGAGCAGGGTAAAAGGTGAACGTTTCCGTGGTTACACGTCGCAGGTTTGGTTTCATGTGAACTCTTGGTCTGTGCAGCTGCTGCCTCTTTTGTCGTTTCCTCTCTGCAACAGGATCCTGAACCAACGGGTTTTTATCAACAAGTTACAGTGAAGAGCGACTCTGTCCTCATCACTTACTGTTGATATGCTCATATTTTAATTAAACCCACTGACACTATCTGCATCTGGAGGCTGCTGCCCGTCGCCTGAAATAACTATGTTTAAATGCCCGTATGAAATCACTTCTTCTGTGTCTCACTTTTATTTTGTAGTTACTCCTTGATTTGTCTGACTGCGTTACAGATCCACAGATCAAAGTAAACTCTAGAAGCGAACATGTTTAATCTCATTTAATGTCATTTATGTACGGGAGCCCTGAAAGTGTCATTTTTCATAGTGTCAAGTTTTTTTTTAAATTTAAGTTTCTGTCTGAGGCCTATAAATAACCCCCGAGAGGCAAGTGTATTATTATTTATTTATTTTATTTTATTTTATTTTATTTTTCTGGGAAAACAGAGAGAATCATCTGTCAAAAAACAACCCCTGAGAGGAAAGTAGTTTTCTTTTTTTTCTTTTTTTTTTTTGGGCGGGGGGGTCATTTTTCATTTTTTTCTGTCCTCCCAGAAAATAAATAAAATAAATATAAATAATAATTCACTTGCCTCTCAGAGGTTATTGTGACAGATGAAAAAAATGTGTGTGTGTGTGTGTGTGTGTGTGTGTGTGTGTGTGCATGTATGTGTGTGTGTGTTAGACGCTGCAGTATCTGAAACCACTACTTTTCTCAACCAAAATCTTATCTATGGACGGCCACACACACACACACACACACACACACACACACACATTGCATTTCTTGGTCTCAGGAAAAAGAAAAACACCTCAATAACTATAATGCATTTGCTGTACTTATGTCCTCCTGAAGAACCTGTAAGTTGATTTATTAGGTTTAATATTTCAGTTTTTGATTTGTTGAAGAACAACAGACAGAACAGCTGCAGGAGCAAAGATCTTCAGTGACATTATTTTTTTGCATTTAACTTTTTAGTTAAGAATTAACTTGCATTTACTATTTAAGCTGTGATTCAGATACTTACATACAATATGCTATGAAAAAGTACCAATTGAACTGTTGAAACTGTTTAAATACTTTGTCAACTGCTCCTCAATGATAGTGTAATGTTATTGTTCTTAATATGGCCAACAATGAATTAGGAAGGAAATAAAATTAGCGTCTATACTTGTGCGTATATGATGTTTTTTGTTTATTACGTATGAACTGGTGTGTTTCAGTGTTTCAGTGTTACAGCAGCGTGACGGGAAATCTGTCATTAGTATCATGAATTTAAACTTGATTGACGGAGAGAAATCAGCATGAAATTTGCTTCTTTTTAATTCAGATTAGAGTGTTTTGGTCGCTGGAGACTGCTGCGTGTGTGTGTGTGTGCGTGTGTGCGTGCATGTGTGTGTGCTGCTTTGAAGCTGCAGCTGACTGACAGAGAGGCTGAATCAGTGGAAACCACTCGAGCTCCATTAAATGAAGTCGAGGCTCTGCAGTGGGAGGTTTTCTCTAAAAGAAAGCAGAACCTATATAATTTATACTCGTACATTTTCTGGCCACACACTGAGCACTTTACTGTTATCAGTGAAATGATTTACATGAGAGCATATAAATGATGTCAGGACAGGGCCTGAAGTCGGTTAATAAAGCAGGATTTTACCTCATCATGTCCAGCGGACTATAGAGATATTTCAAAAATAAAATCAAACTGGAAATGTCATTAAAGATTGAAACAGCTCCTTTCAATCTGAATAACATTTCTTATCGTGAAGACAGCTTTATGGATTCTTGAATTGTCTGTAATGCTTTGGATTTATGGACTTTATATAAAAGGTTTGTGGCATCAGCAATATATTCATTTTATATATGTGTTCTCTATAGTCCTGTGGATGTGAGTCATCAGATGAATCACATCATGTTACACTCAGGGTTCGCCTGTTTCGTCTGCCTGAAGGCCCGGAGACAAATCTACTCTGAAGTCCTCCACGATGATGATGATGATGAGGATGAAGAGTTTCATGCAACGCTGAACACAACACGCAGCTCTGCTCTGACCTGATCTGATGAAGCCATTAATAAACTGAAGGTTCGCTGTGTGGAGATTGCAGTGGTCAGATGGGAGTAGCGCTGACAGGAGGCGCTCGTACTGTTCATACTGATTCAGCTGTGATTGCTCTGATTGGACGGTTGTTTTCTCACGTCGCCGCTGTACAAGAAAATTGTTCCTTTCCCAGCTGATGTGTTTTCATGCATCGTTTTTCTTTTCTTTTTTTTTTGTTACGGAGTCCTGGTGGAGAACTGAGACAATCAGATCCTCCTCCGTTTTGTTTGAAGCTTTTATTTATAACGAGCGTTTGAAAACGAGCGCGTCCCCAGGTTGTCGTCCATGTGAGGTGACATTTGCATAAAGCTGAACCTCTCTCGGCTCTTCCCGTGTCGTGCCAGTCTGGTTCCAGGAGACCATTGAGCCACAGAAACAACTAAACCATTCACTAAGAGTCTGATCCCGTCCACACTGGAGGACCTGCGAGGATAAATCAGTTTGAAATTGACGCCACTGTTCAAGACGCACAAGGAAACAACAAAAGGTTTCCGTTGTTCTCTGTGTTTATGCCGCAGCGACTCTGATGTTTGAAGCGATGAATCATGAATAAAAGCAAAGGAGACATGAAAACTGGAAACTTGACGGTGTCTGTTTCCAAAGTGGCGGATGTGTGGAGAGCTGTTTGAGGTTTCAGTGTAAAAAATGCCAATGACAAATGAAATGAAGTTTGGTCGCGCACACGCTCTACGCAATTTAAAAAAAAAATCGCTTTTATTTTGAAACTCTGCCTCTGATCCTTCCTGGACCATGACAGATTCTCCCAAACTTGTACTTTTTAAAACCAGGAGCTGTGGCTGAGGAGCTAAATAATGTGCTTCTTTGTTTTCCTGTTGTTTTATCGTCATGTCCCTGAAATGCTTCCTGGGACACGGTGACACCAGTATGCTCTTTGAGACTCCCATTGGCCACACCGTACATGTGCCACTCCTCGTTGGTGCTTTGATGGATTGTAGTCACCTCATTTTAATTGGCTGCCGTGGCTGTAGCTCGTCCGTGATCTCCTCCAGGGTCCGAGCTCCTAATGGTCCATAATACACGTGTCGTGCTTGATTTTATATTATATGGCCAGCCTCTTTTTTTTCTGGAAGATTTTGACTCTTGTTTGAAATGTCTTCAAGAGAAAAAAAAAAAAAATCTGGTGTTACACTGTTAGACCCTGTTCAAGCCTGATTAGACCAAAAAAAAAAAAAAATCCTGCATCTTCCAAAGTGAGTGTGTTCGCTTCTGTGTTTCTGGGTCTGGCAGCAAAAAGAAACCTCCCCTGCAAAGAACCTGAAAGGTATCACCACAGGACAGCATCACTTTGAAGTGTGTGTAGGTGTGTGTGTGTGTGTGTGTGTATGTTAGACGCTGTGGTACCTGACACCCCTCCTTTCCTCAACCAAAATCTTATCTATGAACGGCCACACACACACGCACACATTGCATTTCTTGGTCTCAGGAAAAAGACTATTGTGCATTTCAACAAGAAAAAAAAAAACGCCTGCAGCTTATTTTTCCGCTCAGCTGCTTTTATTAATGCTCAGTATTTTTTAACCCTCATTTATCCGGGGTTACATGATATTTACAGCAGCAGCCTGCGGCCTGTCATCACTTATAAGAGCTTCAGCATCATGTTCATAGAGAAAGCTGTTTCCTCCTTAACAACTGTGTTTTTAAGCTTTTATGTTTGTCTGTCTGCTCATGGGACCAGTTGAAAGATAAACAGCTGATCTCAGTGGGATTTCACTTCACAGCAGCAGGTTTCTACAGGAGAAATTGGAGGGATTTTATAATGATTTAAAAACATATAACTTCTGCACAAACATCTCCTCTAATTCACATTTCATATCTTTTGAAATAGGTTTCATATTTACCCCATGAGGCCTTTAAAATCCCTCGAATGAAACAGAGAAAAATCCCTTTGGTTAAAGTGCTCGTCACATATTAAACCTGTGAAGATCCTTAAAGGGATCTAAACCAAAAGGGGTTGAGAACCACTGACTGATGACCCCCATTGAGCAGATTATACTTAATCAGGTCTAGAGTCCCTTTCTAATGCTGTGAGGCTCGGGCCTGGTCGCATGGTATGTCGCCATCATCGCGTCATTTGATTTTTAGGACGTACACTGATACTCAGCTGCTCATCATCGTGTTGGTGGAGCATCGTATCGGTTGGGTGCGTTCGGGTCGACCACATTTTAGTTTGTGTCCAGTTAAGATCGGGCAATATGTCAGTACATGCTGTAAAACGAGAGATCAAAGATGAGATTAAATATCTTATTTTAAATATACATACACGCACCCACCTGTGAGTCAGATCGCAGGGCTTCGCACAGGTTTTTCCACAGGTACATCACAGAAAATCTCTAGGTTTTAGACCAGCGGATACTTCTGTATTGGAGGACACATTCAAGAATTTAATTTCTTTTAAAATGTCCAAAGAAAACAAAGAGGATTTAGGAGCAATTACTTTGATTTACCCTCTTAAAGCTACGCTTTGTTAGCCAAAACCCCGGGGTATTAAAGTTCAGTGCTGCTCTGTTGGTAAATCAATTCTGCTTGTTAGATTGAGCGTTCACCATTCACCACTCATCCACAGTGCGAGTCGAACAGCAGACAGTTTAAGTAACGATGTGTAGAATCATGTGACTTTTGTAAGAACTGGTGCCTTATGTTTTGCTTTCAGCTCACTGAAGAATGAGAAACATCTCACAGGCTTTGTGTTATTAAAACCCTTCTGACCGTCTCTCTTCCCTCCGTCAGGCGTTGCTGAAGATGGACTGCCAGGGTCTGGTTGCCAGGTTGGTGCTGGACTTTGTGTTGTTGACCACGGCGGTGGAGGTGGCGTCCCGGTGGAGGGAGCTGGCTGAGAAGCTGGCCCGAGTGTCCAGACAGCAGATGGAGGCTTACGAGGCTCCGCACCGCGACAAGAACGGACTTCTGGACAACGAGGTGAGACACCTGAGGAAGGTTTTCGTGAAACAGGCTAGAATTTGAATTTGTCCAATAAAAACCTCCTTCTTTCTTTCCCTCCCTCTGACCCCTCTTCTAATCCCTCAGTCCATGTGGAAGCCCGCCTACGACTTCCTCCTGACGTGGGCCGCCCACGTCGGGGACAGCTATCGAGACGTGATCCAGGAGCTCCACCTGGGCCTGGACAAGATGAGGAACCCCATCACCAAGAGGTGGAAGCACCTGACCGGCACGCTCATCCTCGTCAACTGCCTCGACACCCTGCGCAGCGCCGCCTTCTGCCCCACCGGGTACGGAGACTTTGCTGTCTGAACCTTGGGGAACTCTTCTGCTTGTGGTGGAAGTTACTTTGTCTGAAGTGTGGCTGACTTTATGGACACGATGTTCGGGATGGACTCCAAGGATTCGACCGTGAATCTCTAGGCTTTCCCCAGCCGTCCATCTTTAGGTGCGGTCTTGCTTGGAGTCTCGGATCAGTATTGATGCAACACTGACGAGCACCAGAGGTCAAATGAATTCTGACATTGGAAAAGTCAAAGAGTGAACTGAAGGATCTGGATCTTGTTACGTCTGTTCTGCTTCTGCTTGTCCTTGTACTCTTCTCCATCTCCTCTCTATCTCTACCCTTTTTCTTCATCTCTTTCCACCTCTTCCTCATCTCGTCTTTATCCTTTCTCATCCTAAACTATCACATTTTGACTGTTAATATTCTGTCCGCCCAAGCTTTCCATGTTGGTTTGTGATTTCTGTCACTACGGCCCTCAGGACATCAGAGACCTAAACCACTGCAGAACATAACCCGACATACTGTGAACTCTGACCTCTCCTCCATCTTTTAACGTTGATTTGACCCCCAAACTGAACTGACTGTGCTCACGACCTTCACCTTTGTTCCCTCCATTTCGAAGCGGCAGTTTTTATTCGACTGACTGTCGCTGGCATTTCTATTTAAAGGAGGCAAAACAGATGGTTTTTTTTTACAAATGTCTTCAATCAATCGAAGTGAAGCAGACGTGGTTTCATACATGAAGAACTTTTGACACTGATTTGCTTTGCCAAAAACTGTTAGCCCGATGCTAACATTGCAACTTTGCAGTAAAGGTACTGTATATCTGCTAATGCAAGATATACCTCTATTTTTTTACACTTGCAGAACAACACAGATAATGTGTTATCCATTATGGGGCTCTTGTTGTGTTCTGGGTTTTCACTTCTTGTAAGTGCAACGTCTATTTTCCCTATTGAAAACTCTCCCGCATAGAAAGATCAAACTCAAATATGTCGCAGAATGATAAAATATGTTATTGCAGAAAATTGCATATTACCATGACAACCAAATGACTTTATCATTTCCAACCAGAAAGTCCAACAAAAGGTGCATTTTTCTGCTACGTTTGGTTCTGACATCTGCAGAGTTCAGAGTAAATGAATTATTTTTTGTGTTTAACGAATCAGAGGATGTTTCTGTGTTTTCCTTCAGCTGCAGTAAACCTGTGAACTTTGGGCTTCAGATGTGAGTTTTAAAGAACTAGTTATCTTCTAATGATCTAGGTTTTGTTAAGTTTGTATTTAAAGAAGCCCCTTTGTCTTTGACTATAATCAATCAGCTCTGACGCTTCTGTTGTTTTCTCTGTATGCCTGTTTTCCTTTCAGCGTTTCTTTTCTATATGTTTTGTGGCCGCTGCAGTGTTCCTGTGTCTGTTTGGGATATGAACCTGATCTGAGTTTATATATTTGTACCGAACGCCGATCGAGTATTGAAACATTCTCCAGTGATGTTGCATCAACTGTGACGGGTCGCAGATCTGAAATCTGTTCAGTGTTTCCGGCCACCAGGTCTCAATAAAACGGAAAATGGAAAACAAAGTGAAATGAAAATCACTGTGTGTGTTGATAAATGGAGAATACTGCTGGACTGACACATCTAAAACCTGCTGTAGCTTGAAACTTGTCAAAGATTTGTTTTGGTTCTCTCCAGTAAAATGTTGCACTTTTCCTTTAAGGAGGCAGATTCTGCAGAGACGGTGAAATTCTTTCTGCCTCCGTGAGTTTTGCGACTCATGCAGCGCTCATTAAATGTGTCGAGTGTTGTGTGGCGCCGTCGTCATGAATTCCACACAGACAATACAGCGGATTCCTTCATGTAAACACACACACACACACACACACACACACACACACACACAGAAAACATCACACATGAATGCACAAACGATCCCATGTTCTAATTCATGCACAAACAGCACACATGAACGCACACAAATCCATCCACATATGTTCTTCTTTCCCAGACGAACACAATCCTCCACATACACACACACACACACACACACACACAGAGTTTAATGTGCTTAATTAAAGAAGATAATTATTCTCCCTCAGAGGACAGACCACCTTGACAGACTCGTCCTTTGCCTCTCAATGACTCACCCTCAACATTCCTGCTCGTCTCCTGGATACAACTCAAACCATGGCTGCGTGTGTGTGTGTGTGTGTGTGTGTGTGTGTGTGTGTGTCTCTGTTACAAACAAAGTATTAAGGTTCTCCAGCTGTAAATCAGAAATTATAATTTTTTTTAAAAAGTGCGTAAATGACCTCAAATTGTGTGCAGCCACTGGTGTGTACATCTCCCCTTTGCACTGATAGAAATATTTATGGGGAGATGAAAACAGGTTCATCTCCAAATTCTCAAAGCTGTCTAACATGGTGTTTCCTCCGGGGAGGCAAAAGCAGAGCAGAGTGTTTGTATCACAAGGCGAGACTCTTGAAGTCTGATGTTTTCTGCCTGAAAAGTTCATTTTGTTTGATACATTTTGCTCATTTTTAACAGCTCAAAGGCAAAGAAACTTCCTCTAATCCCAAATTATAATCAGTTATCACCAGATCTTACCCATAATCACAGGATCACAGGTATCATTCATTCCCCTAATGTACAAGTCTATATTTTAGTCCATTAAATCCCACAATCAAAGAGATGTGAGAGAAAAACAGTCATTTTCCTTCGTTAATTCATGACAAATTGCAGAGCTTTGAGCTTTTCAAAATGCAAAACAGGTGGAGAGATGAAACGCTCCGGGACGAGCTGTCGGTCTGTTTCATCTGCTGTTGTTTTCTGAGGATGTGCGTGGATGTGATGAAACGGGCCGGGCTGGTTTCATCCCGTGGGTCTGGAGAATGCAAAGGGCCCTCGAAAGATAAAAATAAAAACTCCCTCGTCTGCTTTCTCTCACGTCTGGCTCCTTCAGCGCCGCCATCGTTCTGGAGACAGGGATGTTTTGTTGTCGTCGTCAGGAGGGGGCCTCGTGAAAACCTCCAGTCACGGAGATTATGAGAACTCCGGCTGAATGATTGCTAGCATCCCTTATGGGCTGAAAACCTGATTTCACTGTTTCTCTTTCACCCTGAAGCACCCGAGTCAAAATGATCACCACATTCTTTCTGGGAACAACAGGTGAAAATGTCAAGTCCATTTCCTGCTGTTATTACGTCGACTTTTCATCGGACATTGTCTGTGCATTGTGACTCTCTACAACACGTCAAATGTCATTTCAGAGTTTGATTTTGTTCATTTTGTGAAGTTTTATCAGACGTTTGTTCCTGTCATGATCTGCCCCCTTTATGACTTCCTGTTTTACTTTGAAATGACTGACCTTATGTGTCTGTTGGATGTTTACTACCTCTCCTTGTCTAGTTTTCCCTCTCTTGTGATTGCCTGCACCTTGCCTTCCTTTTGTATCTGAGTCTCTGTCTTTCCCTCAGTCGTCCTCGAGCTCCCGTGTTTGTTCCTGAGTTTTTGTCGTTGTTTTTGGACCTTGGATTCCTGATTGGATTGTTTTCACCTTCAAGTAAGTGCTTTGTGTTTTTCTTGTTTGTGTCTGCAGCTCCTCTAAAGGAGGAGGAAATCACTGCTGTTGGGTGAAGTTTTTCCACTCAGCGTAACTTCAGCTGCATTTGACAGTTTAAACCAGGAGGTTGCACACATCTGACTGATCCTATCATCTGCAGATTTGCAGCTCACATCCTCTCAGCGGCCACTTTTTGACTTCCTGATCACCTGTTTGCCTTTAGCATCGATTATCAGTTCACTTAATGTGATTTGTTGCGTTAGATGTCGTTGTCGGGAGCTCGGTGCATCTTTGCCCCCTTGTGTCACTGTCGGTCTCATTACACTGTAGCATCTGATGCAAGCGTTATGAAGCGTCAATCCACAAAGGGTCAAAGGTCAAGGAAATCTTCAAGGTGCTGACAGTTAACTCCCAATTTACAGAATTAAAGTTTGTAACAGGTTATGATGGCATCTTAAGGTAATTATGTTTTTAACTGATATATTTGTAGTGTTTTGTGTGTCCCTTAATGAACCTCAACGCTGAATCCGTTTTACAGTTTTGACAAAAGCAAGGAAGGAAAAATATCTAATTTCTGCACCAGAGCAACATTTAATAACAAAGTAAAGAAGAAAAAAATGAATAAAAATGAAATAAAATATTGAATGTTGAGTACAGTTGCAGTGAGGAAATAAATTTCCCCAAATGTAATAAAGGAAGTAAAAGAACCAGCTGCACAGCTCGACTTCAGACTGAATCTACGTTGGAAGCAGCTGAAGTTTAATTCTCCCTTTTTCTGCTGTTTTCTGTTCAGATGATCCTCCACCTTCCCCTCACCTGTCTGCGGACGCCTCGGCTCCACTGCAGACCAGACTTCGTGTCCCAGCTCCGGTGAGACAGCGCAGAGAGTTAAACAGCTCATTAAGAAGCGTGTTTTGTTTCCTTTTTAACCTTTCTCAACACCTGCCTGCCGCTCGTCGTCTGTTACCTGAGGAACGGCGAGGAGATGCTGGAATAAATTAGAGGTAAATCAGTGAAGGAGGCTCTTGGTTTATGGATGAGACGACTGTGTGGGTGGTGGGCGAGAGACCATTAGACCATCTCAGCTTGTTAGAGAGAGAGAGAGAGAGAAAGAGGAGTGCAGTTGGAGAGAGTTGTGGTCTTACAAAGTCACTGTGTGTGTGTGTGTGTGTGTGTGTGTGTGTGTGTGTCCATGCCCTGTTTTATAATTCCTTTCATTGATCTCACGCACACTCATTAGAAGGGAAATCAATGGGGGAGGAGGGCAGAGAGAACAATTAGCAAGGTCTTGATGACTCAGGTTGTGTCGGTGTCTTTGTGTATTTGTGTGTATTTGGGGACTAGTTTTTCCCTCTCCTCATCTCTTTACTACTAACGTTAATACTGCTGCTTTTTCCCTGAAAGCCCCTTCATACCCATACAGCTGTTCTTTTGAACTTATACTAGATAATTAGACCTTGTAACAGGTTTATTTTGTGTGGCGTTTTGCTGGGAGTTTGCAGAGGTCACCAGACCGTGTGTATTAATAATCCAGTCATCCACCCGCAGTGCTACTTGTTAAGTGGCTGCAAGGACAGGTAAACATGCTGGTGGAGTGTGGGCACCATATGTTGAACTAGAAACATGTAAATATAATTATAATAAAGATGGAGAGCCTTTCACAGCAGACTACATAGAACCTGTCGGCAGGTTTTGAGTTCACACTGGAAAAGCGACAAAATAAAGTCTATTATCAAAGCAGTCGGGATGTTCATGTGTTGGTATGTAGTGTTGAACGTGTCTTTCCCGCTCAAATTGCGTTCAAAGTGGAGTGAAAACACGAGGTTCGAGACAATTTTATTTCATTTATACAGCAGAAAATCACACATTTATAATCCGGGGGAGTAATAAACTATGCAACACAAGACCCTCCATTGTGGGATGAGGTAAGACTCCAGCAAAAGGAAACTTCAGAGCGACAGAGGAGGGGTCTCTCTCTCTCAGACACTGGTGTTATTACAGCTTTAAATCTCTCCAAGCTGTTAATGTTCTGAAACTGCAGCTACATTCTTTAATTTCCTGTGACTGCAGAGAATTTCTCACCCTGCAATGAAATGTCATGCTGCCATCTAGTGGTACAAAAGTCACGTGACCACAGCTCCTATAATAAAGGACCATGCCACTGTTCATGCACGTGTATTACAAACAATGCATCACTTTTCCTGGTTTTTAGATTTAGGTGTTTTCTTCTCTTCCAGGAGCTCTTTAGTTTCTAATTTAATGTAGTATGCAAATCATATCATAGAAAATAAAATGTGAGATAATCAAAGTCTTTATGATGTTGTTTAATGTTTCATTTTTGTTGCATAAATCTGCTGGATACTAATATCCTTATTTCCTGTTAACCTGTGATGTGATCATCATCGTTTTAATGAAAGACTCTACAGATAATCTTGATTATTTCACATAATAAACTGTCGGTATTGTTTCAGAGCCCAGAATGTGACTGTGGTTCACTGAGGAGTAACACAACAAAGCAGCACTCAAGACATGTACGCTAAGTTTATAAATTGGAATCTCTACCTGCGAATGTCGTGCCCTAAAAATAAAAATAAATAAAAATAAAAACAGAATATATTTATTTATCTATTTATAATTCAGAGAGAATAACTTAAAAAGCCTTCACAGCTGCAGCTGCAATAACAATTTAACCACTGAATGAATGAAAGATATCATTTTTAATGTACAGATGTGCAAACAATCAGTGTTGACAGGAAAATAAACCATTAGGTCACAATGAGACATGTTGTTCTCTTATATTCACTACTTAAATTAATCCACATGTCATGTTTCTATTTTTTATTTTGCTCTACATATTTGATCTCAGCGTGTTGCCTGAGTATTTCACCAGTAGGTGTCAGTGTTTCTGCAGCTCTGGTCGCTCAGTGCGCAGAGGAAACACTGCAGCCACGACATGAATGAATACCTTTCAAAATAAGATCCTCTGTCATCGTACCGGTGTGTGTTTGGCGCATACGTTTCTGATAGGAAACCCGAACAGAGTAGATGAAGCTTTTATATTTGAGGGTCTGTGATTAAACCGGAAAACGTGTCTGGTATTTTCCTCGTGTAACTTGACGCATCATAATATGTCAACGTTTAGAGGCTGATCCACGCGTCACACACCATCACTTGTGTGTGTGTGTGTGTGTGTGTGTGTGTGTGTGTGTGTGTGTGTGTGTGTGTGTGTGTGTGTGTGTGTGTGTGTGTGTGTTACTACATGAGCTGCTACGCACTTGGACAGACACAGACAGATGCAGAGACACGATGTGACATTCGGCCACGCGTAATTTGCGCTTCTGGAGAGCGGTGCGCACTGTAAACGCACCGCTGTGTGTATGATGATTTGGCTGTTTCTGGACGCCTGATGCTGTTGGAATGAGTCCAGGGATGCTGCGGCTTGTCTGGCTGCCGGAGTGCCGCCGCGCAACGTGGGGCTGCGCCCTCCACATCTGCTGAACGGGAGAGGCGCGGATCGGGCGTTTCTGCGCGTTTTCCGACCTTATGCTTTGACTCTCACGGGGGAATAACCCGCTATGGATCACTCAGGGGACGTTTAAGCATCTCCTGCCGTGGTATCGCTCTCTGCTGGGACTGTGGGAGTGCATGCTGTTCCTCCCTCTCAGCCTGCAAGATGGGGAACAGTTTCTCCAATTTGGCCGCCTTCCAGTCCTTGCACATAGTCATGCTCGGGCTGGACTCTGCGGGCAAAACCACCGTGCTGTACCGGCTGAAATTCAACGAGTTCGTCAACACTGTGCCCACCATCGGCTTCAACACGGAGAAGATCCGGCTGGGCGGCGCGGGGGCCTCCAGGGGCATCAGCTGCCACTTCTGGGACGTCGGGGGCCAGGAGAAGCTGCGGCCCCTGTGGAAGCCCTACAGCCGCTGCACCGACGGTATCGTGTACGTGGTGGACTCCGTGGACGCCGAGAGGTTAGAGGAGGCCCGGACCGAGCTGCACAAGATCACCCGGTTCTCTGAGAACCAGGGGACCCCGCTGCTGGTCATCGCCAACAAGCAGGACCTGCCCCGGGCGCTGGATGTTGGGGAGATCGAGAGGCAGCTGGCCCTGGCCGAGCTGAGTCCCTCCACCCCGTACCACGTCCAGCCGGCCTGCGCCATCATAGGAGAGGGTCTGGATGAGGGCATGGACAAGCTGTATGAGATGATAGTGAAGAGGAGGAAGTCTCTGAAGCAGAAGAAGAAGAGGCAGTGATGCCAGATTTTGGCTGGATGATGGAAAAAAAAGCTATGATAAATCCCTGCTACTGAAATATTATAGGATGGATTCTATTTTTACAATGATACGTAGCAGATAAAAAACACCATGAGGCATAAATATCATTACTGACTACCACAGAAACATTGAAAGTCTCCATATCTGATGGGAAAATATATACAGTGATGCCACATGAGCTAGAAATACCAGTATTGTCTCTATAACTCATTAGCATCCATATGCTCCTGTAGGAATGTTATAGAGGGAAATGCCTGAACTTCATTTACCAACATCTTTATTTGCAGAAAACAACTAGATGATCTCATGGCATAATCATGAATAATATAAATTCACAAAATAATCATAATAATCTCAAATTTAAGGGAAATATTGACGGGTTGCCTTGATAAATGACTGTTTTAACCCTCTTTACAGGGAGAGTGTCTCTATAAACTGTGGCACTCCCCCTATAAGTCCCTGATGTATTATTATTATTATTATTAGGACTGCTTCATGAGCGATGTGTACATGATAGCGGAGATGTTTTATAAAGTGTATGGATCTACTGGCAGAGCTCCCTGTTGCTGCCGGGTTGTGCTGTGCACAGATGTGAGACTGTTGTAAATGTGATTAGGGATGCACTGATGATTTAGAGCTGTGAGACGGTGTTACACCAAAGATGACTCCCCTGAGAAGACACACAAAACTCCCTGCCACGTGTTTAAGTTCAGTTAACTAATAAGGTCACTGTGGTTTCACCTTTTTACAGGAATATTTTTTAAAATCCAGCTTGTAGTGTTGAAGCTCTACGAAGCAGATTGGTCATGGATGATTTAAAAAGGGCTCAATGTTCATTCCTCAGAGGTTAAGCTAAATTTTCATGTGTTATATGTTGCATTTGACAGAATTATATAAGACACCAATCCTCTTTTTAAAGACGCAAGCAATTTCAGAAGGAAATTAGCAAATTGGCAGTGGTTTAAGAAAATGAAATTCACCCACTGACCCCCTCTTTTTTGCATTTTGAAATCATTTTCTGAGTGGTGTGTCTTTCCCAGAGAAACCCTCTTTGATTACACCTCCCCCGGAGATCTCCAGCTCTGTGAACAGCTGATTCTGTCTCTTCAGAACTCAGCAGATGTCTGCTTGAGACTAGAAACTGACCATTTTATCGTTGCATCATCTGATTTGTTTTGACTCTTCTCACATTTTCTGGTCTTGGTTTCAGTTTGTACCCTCCTTTCTTCCATGAAAAATAACCAGTTGCTAACATAAGTTGCCATGTGTTTGTTTACAGCTGGATATATTTGCTGCAGAGAGTTAGGACCTACAAATCATCTCCAGCTGCACTGTTTTGATGCCAAATACTTGTGAGCACATAAACCATTTTCCAGTGGCTGGAAAAAAAAAGCTATATTTCTTGCTCATTGCTTTTTAGGGTCAGGGATACAAAAACACTGATAAATGCTAACAATGTCTTTGGTTCATCAAAAGGGTTCAAATATGTTTAAAATATCCAACATATCAGACTTCTGTTAGCGATAGAATGACAAAGCCTTTGACTTCTTTTCAGCATTGTCCCTGGTCTTACAGGTCCACCGGCTAAAGTAATTGTTTTTAGTAATCCATTAATCATTTAGACCATTAATTGCCCAGAAAAATTTTGCAGGGTGACCTCTTCAGACACAATTTTCTGTCAAACTGACAGTTCAAAATTGTTGTTTGACTCTTGTGCTTGATGAATAACCTAAATGATTTATCAGTTGTCAAAATAGTTGTCAAATAATCACTTCAACCCTATTTACTTTTTCATACACATTTTTCGTATGCCTGATAATTCAGTGTTTTATTTAAGCCACTAAGCAAATCATGGTCATTAATCAAGCGCCAACAACCATTATGCATTCAGCATGAGATGAAAAATGTGTCTGATATATTTTCTTTTCCTCTGACGAGTTATAAAGATACACTGGACAGTCGTCGACATAGAGTGAGCGATTTTGCATGCAGCAATCAAACAAATGAGTTATTTACAACCCTCCTTTCCAGTTTGAGGTGCAATTTAAAGTGAATGTTTGAAATTAGGCCAAAGCTACTTTTTGTTTAGGTTAATGGAGTCCATATATATGCTACATCATTTCAGTTGATCAGGAACGAATTATTGATTTCAGTCTGTTTCTTTTTCTTTTATGCACCTTTTCCACCACGATTCACTGTTTATATCATCTGCCAATTAAGTTAGCCTTAAAAATATGTCTGAAAACTTATAACAACACACTATGTAGTTGTCAGCATAGAGTAAGAGATTTGAGCTGCAGCCAGGACTAAAATCAGATTCTGTCTGATGTCTGTGTTACAATCGATTTTAAAATGTCAGTATTCTTACTGTTCTGAAGAAGAAATGTTTTGTGTATCAGATGTTTATCAGAGTTGTAGAGAAAGTGAGTGTTATGAGTGCATCCCACACTGTGTCGACCTGCTGGCAGTGGCAGGACAGAGACGAGGAGCAAAGTGTCTTCCTGTAATGATAATGTAGTGAAACAAATCAACAGGCTGGAACCTGTTCAGCTGCTCCTAAAAATGACTTTTCCTCTTCTTGAATGATACTTAATCATAAACTTTTCCTGCAGTTGAATGATGATAAACCAAAACATGCTATGTATGAGAGGTTTTTAAAAAAAAATCTAATTCAGACCAGACAACAACAGTGTTAGCATTAAGCTCCACCTATTTTAGTACACAAACTGACATAACTGACTGCTTGCAGAATAGCTTGTAAGAAGTCACTGAGGTTAGCAGGACTGGACTGTTGAATGTCTCAAACGAACTGTTGTCTTATGCCGCGTTCACGTCAAAACAGAAGAAGAAACTGGACGAAATCTTATTGCTGCAGCTTGATGTCCACAAAATAATAAACCTATTCATTTTAAACCATAAACTGCATCATGTTATTCTATTTCTTTAAGTAGAGTTGATTGTGTTTTGAAGGTAACTTGACCGTTATTTAATATCTTGGAATGCTACAAAGATTCCCACACGTCATACTTATAAGTGCCACCAGGGGGGCAGACTTGAATGTTATTTTTTCGCAGTCAGAATATCATATGTCTGACAAAAACGCGACGTGAACGTGGCATCCTTCTCCAGTGATCAGTCCAGCCGTGTTCAACATTGCATGACAGCCACTACTTCAAACAATGTAAATGATACAGTATAGTGTTACAGCCAAGATACAGCAAGACCAAACGATGTATTACATGCCAAAATGGAGAAAAGAAAAAAGTATTTTTGGGATTAAACTCTTTGTAAATGAAATTGTTTGTTTGTCTGGCTCCTATTTGTTCTCCAAAAGTTTAATCAAGGTGGGAAATTCCCAGCAGCTCTCAGCTAAATGCCAGTTTTACGGTGCATCTTGTTGAGAGTTCCTGTCAAAAATTAGATAGTACTTTAAATGTATAACTAACATAAATTCCACAATCTGCAGAAACTTAATTTAACTCAACTTCTGTCTTTAAAAGAAAAAGCCAATATCTATATTTATGTTTGTATGAACCCTATTATTTAACAATATAACCAAGAAAATTCTATTCAAATTCAGTGTTACGACAAACAACATGGACAAAAATAAAACAGTGAGATTATGAAACAGACTCTTTGTGTCTGTCCCATTTTGTTACTATAAACATACATTTAACCCAAGAAAAATGAGGATTTGGTGTATATATATAATATATATTATGTAAGATAAAATAATGTAAAATTATTGTTCCATCCTTCATTATCTCACCACTGTTTTAGATTTAAACTTGTGTATCTCATGAATATATTTAAGGATTCATAGTTGTTCTATAAATCTAAGGAGGCTAAAATACTATTTCTAGAGACCAGAGTAGCTACATGTTTTCCTCCTTGCTAAATTTTACCTTCTATGCAGTCATTGTGTACAGCTCAACTGTCTTATTATTATGGTTTGTGTAACTAAGTCTAGGATCAAGAGATGAGGAAAATGTTTGAGACACTGTTTAGTGTAATTGCATTGTACACTCTGTTCTCCTCTCTGGGGTTTAACTGTGTGGATGATGACTAATGTTCTTGTTGATTTATCTGAATATCAAACTTATCTGGAGCTGGAGAGCTGGGCTTACAGACGGACAAAAGGTCACTGGTTCAAATCTCAGCCATGGGAATCACGTCACTGTACGTGTAAATAAATATTTTAAATTCTGACTGGATCAGAGGACTCAAAAATGGTCCCATAACAAGACACATGAAGACCATAATGGTGGTTTTACATGTTTATTCCCATTTATCATAAATTCAACTTCCTTTGCATCAAAGATGAACCGTTTGGAAACCATCCTGCTGTGTTTTATACATTTGAATCTATGTATTGTTGTGATTAAGACCCGGTAGGTTGTGGAAACCTGAAACCTTAAACCTCAGCAGTTGGACAAGTAATCACTTAGTTACTGGTACTGATATGCAGCCTAACCTACACCCACAGATATTCTCTATTGTGATCATTTCGTAGAGAAAAAAACCTGACTTAATGCTCAATTAAAGCCTTGTTTGTCTTTTTTCTAATCCAGAGCCTGGTTTCTGTTCCCAAACGTGCTGCAAACCCAGGACTGTAAAATCCAGTTTATCTCAAGTACTGTATATCAATCCTTCTCCTTCTCAAAGCGCTGCCAGAGCGTAGAGGTTTCAGCTGTTTCTCTGTGTCTTTACCCTCTTTCTCTGTATGTTTCTGTGGGTGGCTGTCAATGGGATCTTATGTTTTATCCGTGCGTCTTCCTGGACGATAATCTCTCACACTTCCATCCTCGCCGTCCAAGATGAGTGTCACGTTTCTGCTGAGCACGGGAAAGCTTTGATGCCAACGTTAACACGCTTAAAAATCCCCTGGATGTGCACAAGCGAGATTTTTATAATCGTATTTTTTAAAGTGGGTTGCCAGAAGCAGATTTTTGTTGTAGCCACAAACCTTTTATCTGATGGGAAGAGCATGTATTTTAATGATTCTACTGTATATTTTTCAGTTTCCTTAATTAAGCCTATCGATACTATTAATATTACTCAAGCTACTATCCTATCTATACATTTAAATTTTAAAATAAAAATAAGGGACATTCTTTCTGATGTTAAGTCTGTAGCCTCTGAGAAACATTAGTCAGTAAAAATATTTAATAAAAGTCACAATAAAATTATTCTTTTCATCAATACTTCTTATTTAAAAGGAATTTAAGTTTAAAAATGAACCTGTTTTACAAGCGTTAAAACCTCTCCCTGAACTGTAGTACCACTAATGACCACTACACAGTTTCTCTAATAATCTCCAGCTGTATTGACGTGAATGGAAAACGCGCTAATTGTCTCAGTACCCAAATCCAATCCATGTTTCCCCATCAAACGCAACAATGTGTGTCAGAGTTTCATAAAAGGACAAAGAAAAAAAACGACTCTGACAGTGTTATTAATGAGGAAAAAACAATGGTCAGCTACAGATCCAGTGTTTGGTTCAAGGCAGCGCTCAGTCTTTCTTCTCTCATGTCCAACAGACAGCCTCTGTTGTTACATAAGCCCAGTTTGTAGTTTACTGTCGATAAGATCACTTTGTGTTGAGTCAATAGAGGCTTTAAGAGGCTTTAAGTCTGACTGATGATCAGGAGAAAAGTTGTTGAGACAATAAAGCCGCCGTGATTGTCATCATTCTAGTTTTTCAGGTTTTCGTCCGTCTTTTTAGGCTCTGATTTGAGTCTTTCTGAAATGTCTTTGCCTCTAAAATCAGGTCTTGGTCTTCCTACTCTCTAGCCTTGATCATATCATAGTTGAGGTCTTTCTAAGCTACAGTATGTGCTCTAAACTCTTGCTCTTCATTAGCTCTGACATCAGTCAAAGTTGTAGTCTTTCTTAGCTAAAGTGTTGGTCTTTTTAAGATTTAGTTTCCATGTTTTCAAAGCTCTGGTCTGGGTCTTTATAAGTTCAGGATTTGGTCTTTGTCAGCTGTGGTTTCTGTTTTTATCCACGAGCAGTAGGGAGCTCAATGTAGGTTGGTTGTTGGTCTCGTCTAGACTGAAATATCTCAACAGTTTTTAGAGATGTTCATGTTCTACAGAGGATGTATTCTACCTACTGGCTTTGGTGGTCCCCTTAGTTTTCCACTAGCACTATCATCAGGTCACTTAATCTGGTTTCTAACCAAACACCTGCAAAATGAATGACATCCCCATCAATCCCAGCTGTACTTTGTGAAAATGAGCTAATCTCAGCAGGCTAAGATGGTGAACGTAGTATAATTATACAAGCTAATCATCAGCATGTGTCTGAGTACGGCCTCACAGAGCTGCTATCATGGATGTAGACTCTCAGTCTTGTTCCTGTAGAAGATACTCTGTATGTTTTGCTCTGGGAGTTTCTGAAGCTCCAGTCTCTCCAAAATCAGATCTGGGTCTGGAAGGATCTAGTCTTTCTACACAGTGGTCTCCGACCTTGGTCAATTTCAGCTTTAAAATCCCAACATTCGCCCTAAAATAAGACTGGAATGGAAATTAGATGAATATTCTTCCTTCAGCACTCTGACTGCTGTTTCAAATCCACTCTGAATACATCATCATTTCTATTCTTCTGTTCAAAATGGATCAATAGCACTTTGGAAATGAACTCTTCCTATTAAAATGCTAATTTCACCTATGTGCTGCTGTTCCAGCTGGTTTTGGAATCATCGCTCATTCACACACACACACTCTCTCGGTTGTGGAGTGTGTTCAGGGTTTGCAGTGCTGCGAGCCGGTTCAGGCGGAGGCTAATCCGGCTGTGTTTCCCCCTGCCAGCGGAGTGTCGGGGTGAAACGAGAGTCACAGCTGACGTCACGACCGAGGCTCCGTTTGAAACACAGCTCATTATAATTTAATCACAGACGGGGAGTCTGGGAAAGAGAAGGAGAGAGAGAGGAACCATGTGAAAGTTATCAACAAGTCATTTAATGCCAAATTAAGGGTTTAAAGCTGAAATATGTGACACATTCTCATAGCTGTTTTAATTCTTTTGAAACAAGACAAAGTCGAGTCTTTTAGAGTAATTTGAAAACATGT